ACCTCCACTGGGTCACGGCTTCTCAGGATGTACAGACTGGGGCGCGATGCTGCAGCCTCAGCGCCGGAACAGCCCGGTTCCGAAGCAGCGTCTCCTCATGCACTGAGTGAAAACCAGGAACTTGATCATTGTATTCCCGGTTAGATTTTACCATTCTCTGCTTAGACAGCGTAGTTTGAAATCTAAGGGAGAAAGCTTAATTTACTTTAAATACTGTGAACTCTAATGATGTGGGAAATATTTTTCAACTTTAATTTTCTGAAATATAAATTATTTATGTAAATTCCTTGTTTTTGCATATTTCATAGGACATGCATCTTTAAGCTCTATCGTTGCCAATATGTACAGAAAGAATAAAAATAAAAGTTTATGGATGTAACATCTCTCAGAACTCCACTGATTTACTTCCTACATGAAAGGTTGCTTATAATGGAACCAAATGTCCCTCCTGCGGACAGTGGGAGAACCCCAGGACCAGACAGGAGGGAGAGCCACTGACCTGCTCTGTGACTCTGGGACCTGCACCCACTGTGCCTGGGGCCCAGTTTCTTTGATGGCCACACAGGACGACCCCTGTCGGGGCGAGAGGCCTCCTGCCAGCCTCGAGGAGTGGAAACCTCAGGGGCGACTTAGGAGTGAAGAAGACCCACAGGTGTTCAGCAGCAGCAGCAGCCTCTGCAGGTGCAGGGGCACCCGCTCCCCCCACACCCTTCCCCAGGTGGCCCATCAGAGCCACACCCTCACCTGTCAGAGCTGCTTGCTCAGCCTCCACTTTTTAATCCTCCCTCAAGGATATTTTTTATTGATTTTAGAGAGAGGAAGGGAGGGAGAGAGACAGAGGCATCAATGTGAAAGAGAAACATCGATCACTTGCCTCTGTGCGCGCCCCACCAGGGGATCGAAACCGCACAGCCTTCTGGTGTGCGGACGGCACTCCAGCCAGAGGAGCCACCCGCCAGGGCTCAGCCTCAGTTTTGAAGTATGAAATTTGTTTTAAAAGTTGGAAACGATAAGGTCAAATACACTAAATCCCTGGGTCAGCGAGTACCACTGGGGAAATGTCTGCCTTCTGGAGAGGATCACACAGGCCGCAGGGGCCTGGCTTCTCAAGGAGAAGGTTCCTCTCAAGGAGCCGGAGGGACAGGACCGTGACCACTGGGCCAAGAGCCGGAAATGTAACTCAGAACGTCCAAATTTTCAAAGCCCATCCCTTCATCACTCCAGGTGTTGGCCCTAGGCACTGCTGGTTAAATCGTAGACAGAAAAGAAATGTGCCCCAGTGTCGAAGGAAGGGACACCACTCACTCTCTGAACCCAAGACAAGTAAATACACCGCTTACGTCAGGGCACCTTTGGCCGGTCGGCACAGCCCTGCAACCAAAGTGAACTGCTGATCTGCAGGGTTCTGGAAAGGAAGCTTCTTGTTGGTTATGGAGTCGGGCGGGTTGGCATGTAGGTAAGGGGGAAGTGGTCCCAGGGTGAACTAAGCCTCTGCAACAGTTAGAGGCTTTTTCATTCAGTTTAGGAGAAACTTAAGTTTGGTGGTTACAATCCCCACCGAAGCGCAGCCCTGCCCTCTAGTGGCCACCGCGTGCAGTGCCATTGGGGAAACCTTGGACAACAATTCAGGAAACAATTTTTTTCATTATACAAGTTGCCTGGCTACATTGTAAACAAATGTGAAAACATCAAATAAAAGGATAAAAAGTACATCATCTGAATATTCTGGACACTACTTGCTCTTCCAGTCTTAGGCCTGTGTGACACCTGATGCGTCAACTCAATCACGTTTCTGCAGAGCCCACTGTGTCCCAGGCACTGTTCTGGGCGCTTGGGGGCTGTGAAGGAAAGAGATAAAAATCACGGTGTTTGTGCCACTTACCTTCGGCTGCCGGCACTCTATTCATCCTGGTGGCTTCACTTTTATCATAACCTGTGTTGCCACAAACCCGTCATAAAAGTCACTGCGATTTTTACTGTCTCCACGTCCCTGGCTACGGATGCCTGAGTGCCCCGGGCCTGCAAAGCCAGGGTCCGTGGCTTCTACCCAAATGCCTTGCCTCCTTCGCTGGCCAGTGACCACCTGCGGACCTCACAGTCCAGTGACTGGGGAGGCAGCAGCGACAGAGGCAGGCAGAGCCTCCTGTGGGAAGGCAGCGTGAGACGCGTCATCACAAAAATAATTCCAACTCCGTCGTCATACACGGAAGTATCAAGCAGGCGCCCGCCTTCACCTGACTTCACCCGAGGGGCCCACTTCCCCGGGGGGGTCTCCTTTGAACTCAGAACTCAAGGAGCGATCGGGCTGGGCCGGCAAAGGGCGGGCAGAGGGCAGGTGTGGCACCCGGAGCCCAGGCCGCACAGGACTTTGCAGGCCGGTTAGGAGCGTGGGTTTATTTCAGGGCAACCAGAAGCCCCTGCAAGGGTTGAACATTTTGAGCAAGACTGGCCTTTTAGAAAGATCCCCTGTAACAAACATGACCTGGGAGAAGAGCCCATTCCTAAGAGTAACACAAAGTCCAAGCTAATTGAAAGCCACTTATCAAGAAATATATAATATGTATCTAAAGAAAAGCTGTAGACTTTACTGACTGGCAGAAAAGAAGACTCGAATAAATGGAGACATTTTGTCTTGAGTGAATATGTGAAGCTTCCTTGTATTTATCTGTTTGTCACATATATATAATGAAGTCTTCTGAATTGTGGGGCCCCTGTTTTACACTTTCCCACCTCCCAGTACCTCCCTCTCACCCCACAACACATAGAGTGCGATTAAATTAACTTTGAGCCCTGACCTGTGTGGCTCAGCTGATTGGGCGTCTTTCTGCAAAGTGAAAGGCCGCTGGCAGGTTCGATTCCTGGTCAGGGCACATGCGGGCGTTGGGGGTTTGTTTGGTTCTCTCTCACGTCAGTGTTTCTCTCCCTCTCTGTCTCCCTCCCTTTCACTCTCTCTAAAAATGAATAGATAAAATATTTTAAAATTATTTTTGTAATTCTTTGTGTTCAGACTGCTTACCCCACTACACTGATAAGAAAACACTAAATTCATCTGTAAAATAAATCAATCCATTTATTTGGCAGACACACACACTTTGACACGCACGCGGGGAAATCACAGTATTTTAGCCGTTCTGTTAGCGTTGTCCACAAACGTCACTTATATACTATTAGCCGAGTGTCAAGATTTTCAAACCAACTTGTTGTTTCATGAAACAGTTTTTGTCTTAGTTCCTTTGTGGTGTTCCCAGAAAACATGGGGAAGATGTCAACGATTTCCAGCAGCACTTCTGAAATCCACAGCTTTCTGTGCGTCACGTGCGGATCCTGTGTCTCTGGGCAAAGGGGCAAAACGAAGAGCCCGGGAGCTTCTGAACACGACGCTCCACACGAGGAACGCTCGTGGCGCCTGGGGGCCACCTGCCTGATCCCGGCCAAACTCCGCCCCGGGCCGCTCCCCCGCGGCCACGCCTCCGGGCGCCGCGTCTGTGCCGGGCGGGCCCGTTCTGGTCCCCACGGCGGAGATGAGAACCAGGTCGTCCCTCGTCTGCAGGGATTCGCGTCCCACCGCCCAGGAGCGGCCCGGACGCCGCTGTGTCCACCTCCGGGGCGCGACCCGGGCGCGGCAGAGCGAGCCGGGCTCCCAGGTCCCCGGCCTCTGCCGAGAGGCTGCCCGGGCCGGCAGCGCCCAGCTCGGATCCCCCGGCCCCCGGGGGAGGCGTCCGGGCGCAGGGACCGGGGTCGTCCCGCCGGAAGCCCCGGGGCGGCGGCCCAGAGAAAGGAAGCGGGGCGTCCTTTTAAAAACACAAGGAAGCGCCGCTCAGAAACGAGCCCGTTCCCTCCTCCGCGCGCCCTGATCTCCTGCGTCCGGGCGCACGTGGGACCTTCAACAGCCCAACCCGGCACCGCCCTAGATTTTTATATTTTTCTTTAAATAAATTGAGATCCTGTGAATTAACACTCAACAGAATTTACTGTTTATCTGTAAGAACTGGGGCTACAACGGGAGGTGAGAGACGGTTTTTCAGCGCGGAAAGCAAAGCACTGATCTCTCACCCTCCTGGGCGGCCTCGGGTCTCAGCCGCAGCTGGAGGGCGACGCCCAGAATCAGAGTCCGCAGCCGGGGGATCGCACTCGAAATGAGGGTTTAAGTTTTCTAAAGTCTGTCGGGAGAACCTGGGGAGAATACGTGGTGTGGGTGTTAGGGGTGTCTGACCATCAACATAAGAAACGTTCACACCTACAGAGAATTTATGAGCTTGAGCCGAACTCAGGACAAGCACCGGGAGGTGAAACCTCAAGGAACCGAGAAAATGCCCTAGAAAACTGCAGTTCCGCTCCTGATTTCATACACTGCAATCGAGAAACTGTAAGTCCATTGGGGGGAGAAAGCAAAGTGGGTGTGTGGGGTGGGGGGGCTCTGGGATTGGGTAAGCGGTGAAATGATGGACGCACACTTTCCACAGGTGGAAGCCGCGTGGTTAACAGTCACCAATAAACGCAGTAACAGGGCTTACGCAGCCTGTGCTTTGAGGGGTCTGCAGACAGGAAGGTTACTTTGTTTTGGGAATAAAGGCATGTTTATCAGGTGTGTTATCCTGGATGTAGAAAGACAGCAGACAGGCCTGGGGAAGGTGAAGACCGACTGACCTTTGTCGGGGAAAAACACCCGCCTAGGACATGAGTCCCCGCTATGAACTGCTCTTAGTTAATTTTTCTCATCTCGGACCATCCTGTGCGGTTACTTTAGGTCTCTGAGCGTGTAAGGCAGCCACACACTGGCACGCCCACCCCGATCTAGTCAGGTTTAGTGTGTGGCCCCAAGTCATCCACATGACCAAACAGGACCTGCCCGAGCTCAGGGGAAGGCCCAGGGAACTGAGAGGGCGCTCCGAAGGCAGCTGCTACGGTTTTCACTGCGTCTCAGCCTCCGGGGGAGACACGTCCTCAGGAGCCGTCAGCGCAGGGTGTTGTGGTTTCTCCATTATCACACAGACGCGGAATGAGAAAGTAAGTGGTGTTTATTGCGACGCTTTCCTTAGATACAGAACGACTGTGGGCGCGTCCTTGGTCCTCAGCCTGAATGACTCCAGCTGGAAGATGGTTCCTCCAAAGCGGCCTCCTCTGCGTCCTCTGCGACCAGGCCAGGGCCAGGGTGTGTGCTCCCGAGCTGCCAAAGCCTCTTGAAGGCCGACGGGAGGGGAGAGTTCAGTGAGGCCCAGGGCTGAGGGGCGCACAGAGCCGGGGGAGTGTCTGGCTGAGCGGAGCTGGGGCCCCCAAGTGCGGTCCTCCCCCCGGAGCTGAGTGACCCACCCAGCAGGCAGGGCCCCCTGCCTAACCCCCTGCCTCAGCCTCTCCTTCCTCTGCCTGGAGTCAGACTCCTGCAGAGACGCAGGGACTCCCACTGGCCCTGCCTTCAGAGGGCAGGGTCTGCCGGCTCGACTTATGCTGGGATCGTGGTGATTTAGAAAGTGCTAGATTCCTTTCTTCCATTCTCTTTTTACACCTCTAAATCTGTGTTGACCACCTGACGGATGACCCCCTCACTCCGCTGAGAAAATGAAGTGAACAATCTTCCTTCACCCAATTCACCGGGCCAGCGTCACCCCGTCCCTGTACCGCACCTGTGGTCCCCTCGCAGTGGGTGCTTGTCCTGCCCTCCACTCGAGTCCTGCAATCCCACCTCTTCACTCGTGAAAAGGGTTGGGGGAGCAGGTGTGGGCATGGGGGGACAGGTGAGAAGTCAGAGAAGGCTTCTCTGAACTGATGTGCATGCAGAGGCCTGAGTGAGCTGAGGGACTGAGACGTGGGGAGCGTGGGGAAGAGTGTTCCAGGCAGACGGACAGGCAGACACAGTGCCTGAGGTGGGGGTCAGGTCGCTGGGTTCAGAAAACAAGAAATAGTGGGCGGAGCTGGAGCACATTGTGGGGGCGGGGGGGGGGGGGGGGGGAGAAAGGCAGGCAATGGACAGGTGCCCAGCCGTGCAAGGTGATAGAAACCTAGGAGCTGAACTGCTGGCTCGTGTGGTAATTTAACTGCCAAACTGTTTTCCAAAGTCACTGCATTATTTTACATTCCCTCCAGCAATGCTTGGGGACCCCATACCTTCCAGCAGACGGTTAACAGGCTCTGTAACTACAGAGAGAAACCTCTTACTGTTAACGCCATGGCCCGAGTCTGGGGGTGATTCCCACATTCCATGCGGTGTGGTGCTGTACCGCCTCTTCCCCCGGCGCAGCCTGGAACAGCCCCCGGTGCCCGCCCCCCCCACTACCCCACACTACATTTCTCCTGCTCGGGTTCAATTGAGATCACTTGTAACTTAGAAGAGTTGTTAATGCCTTTTTTCTATGTCTGTTCTCATTATTCCGAATGTGTTAGCTACTTGTTCTTTAACAGCAGAGAGAGCTGAAGGCGGTTGCCACACACACCCCCAGACACGGTGGAGGGAGAAGGCAGGTGGCAGGCCAGGGCGCCTGGGGTGGCAACGGGCAGAAACCCAGACACACACCTTAAGGACAAGCAGGGCAAAGGTGTGGAATAACAGGCTTACTTGCAAATAGCAGCTTTTTCTTCTTGCTAGGATTCCAGAAGTTGCGGAGCTTTGGCCGAGGGCTTTGAGTCAAAACTACTAACGTTAAAGTTCACTTTCACTTTCAACCTTTAACAAGATAACACGAGTAAGGATGTTTGTTAAACGATACTAGGTTATGCTCTTTCAGACATTATTGTTACATGCTGCAGTGTCTACTGTCTAAAGTGCTGTTACTTCAAACCGCTGCGGACTGTCGGGCATGTGACCACCGCCGAAACCACGAAGGACGCTGGCTTGCGGGTTCCTGACCTAGACTCCGCGGGGTGACGCTGAAAGCACCCCCTTCCACAGGAGTGTGTGCGCTGACGTTAAAAGAAGCCACAGAGATTGTGCCATTTACAAGCATCAATATAAAACGTGTTTCCAAAAGAACCCAAACACTCCATTTCCCAGTCTGCCTTGCTGCCAGGTGGCAGACAACTGCCTCAGAGTCCACGCAGGCCTGGACCGGACCAGTGACCCTGGCCCTCCGAAGGGCACCCAGGCCCGCAGAGCCGGTGTGGTTCCCAGGCCGCCAGGGGGAGCGGCGCCCGCCTGAGTCCGCAGCCCCGGGTCATGGCGCGAGCACTGCGCCCTCTGCCTGCGATTTTGAGTACTGCTCCTGAAACTGAGCTCTGCTTCCTAAGACCTCCCAGTGACTGGGAACAGTTGAAACCCTCAAAAAACGGACCCTTTTCCAGTATGGGTTCCATTATCCGAAACCGAGAGCCCTGGCACTCTTCTAGCTAACAACCTCAGTACACCTGGCATGCAAACGGTCCCACACAAAGATTCATGAAAGGATCAGTCTGATCTGGCTTGATCAAAGTGAGTTTTCCTAGAAAATGGGGATTTCAAAATGTGTTTTGAGTGAAAGCAAAGAAATGATTTGGGCCCATCCCTATATACACACACCACCAATAAATCAGACAAAGAAAAGAGAAGAGAAGAGAAGAGAAGAGAAGAGAAGAGAAGAGAAGAGAAGAGAAGAGAAGAGAAGAGAGGGAGGGAGGGAAAGGAAGAGAAAGAGAGAAAGAGAAAGAAAAGCAAACGTCCAGGTTAGTATATAAAGCATAATTAGTGAAAAAGGGTTTCCTGTGCTAATATGTCAAGAAAGCATTCAATCAAAAATTACAAGACATGCAAAAAAAAAAGGTAAGATAAAATAACCTACTGTCTAGAGATAAAGCAATCAACAGAACCAGATTCAGACATGACCCTAATGTTGGAACTAACAAGGAATTTAAAGTAATTACAAATAATGTATTAACCCAGTGGAAAGGTGAATAATGTGTATGTACACATAGGAAATTTCAGGGAAAAGGAAAACTATATAAAAATCAAATGGAAAGACTAGAAATAAAAATTGTCACAGAGGAAAAATTCCTCCGAAAGGCGCTTCGGTGTATGGGACATGGCTGGGGGAAGACTCCGTGAACTTAATCACAGTCAGGACAAACTGTCTAATTGAAACAGAGCGGCTAAGAACTGCGTAGCTGTGGGACATCAAATGGTCTAACACACATTGGAATCTCAGAGGAAACAAGAATAGGATGTAAGAAATATTTGAAGTGATAATGGCCTTGAATTTTTTAAAAAATGAATGAAAGCCATCAAACCACAGACACAGGAACCTTAGAGGGCCCTAAGTAGGACAAACAGGGAGAAAAGGGAGCAGAGACACATCACTGTGGAGGAAGTGAAAACCAAAGACAGAGAAAACCTTCAACGTATCCAAGGCAAAAGGAAACGTCACATGCACAGGATCAGGGACAAGAGTTACAGTAGATTCCCCATCGAAAACTGAAATTTAAAAAATTATAACTATGAAATATTTACATCACTGTCTCAAGAAAAAGTTTCCCAGTGCCAGTGGGTTCCATAATTTGTACAATATTGACCATTACCTGCTCCTTTTACAGAATTCACTTTCTATGTAGTTTGCGGACAGTCTAATCCACTCGTTTGGAGTCATGAAGCACCTTGAATTAGAAATTCTTGGGAATCTGGACTGCAGTTTGGCCTTCTCGACCTCTTTAAATTCTTTCATTGTCTGCATCTTGCCTGTAAGAAGGTTGGTAACACAAATCAGCCCAGTGGAGTGCACCTCCATGGCTCTGGGTCATGGAACTGCATAACAATTAGAAACAAAGTACCTTTGAGCACGGGCTGTGAACCAAAGGGTGGCTGGTTCGATTCCCAGTCAGGGCACATGCCTAGGTTGCAGGCCAGGTTCCCAGTGGGGGCCACATGAGAGGCAACCATACATTGATATTTCACTCCCTCTCTTTCTCCCTCCCTTCCCCTCTGTCTAAAAATAAAATAGATAAAATCTTTAAAAAAAAACAACAAAGTACCAGTCTCACACTGAAGAAGAGTTCTTGTTTCCTCATCTTTGTCATACTGTGCCTTTTTCAAAGGGTCACAAAACGGTGGGATGGTGACCTACAAGACAAGCATTTTGTTAAGGACTTGGTTTCAGGTCTTTTTCAGTCTGTCCTGAACATCCATTTGTGGCTCTTATGCCAGAAGAACCCAGACCACGGGATCTACAGGCTGACGGCAGTCTAACCATTACATGTATTGAACATATAATCAAGGGATGGGGCCCTGTGCAGCTTCACTTAGTGAGCCTTCCAGTCACGTTAGCCCTTGTTTTATGGCCTCTTCAGACTGTGCGGGTGAGTCTCAGGCACTACACCCCAACTCAGCAAGTGGTAGTTTCTTCAGGATTAGTTAGGATGTGGGATCTGAAACCATACCAACCAACTATTCAAACTCCGCTATGTTAAAACCCATTGGTCTGGGGGGACGGGGCTGGGATGGGAGTTAAAAAAAAAAAAACAGAAAACTGTATTTGAACAATAATTAAATTAAAAAAAACACATTGGTCTGTCTTGAACTTTGAATGAATTGTTTCTGCACGTCATGCATCGGTTGTTTGGAAAAAATCAGGTCCAAGTCAGGTGAGATCTTCTGAATGTTAACACACTTCATTACACAGTAACTGCATTTATTGAACCATCACCAGTCTCACCAGCCAAGCCTCTGAGTATTGGAACGCTGTCCCGCTCAATATAATTTTTCCAAAAGTCTAATGTTTGCTTAAAAGCTCACATTTTATCACTGGCAACAAATACTGCCCGTCGTTGTTCTTGAAGTGCAGACTGACTTGGATAACCTTCCAGAAAATGTCTGCCAAACACCCAAGATTAAACACCATGGTTTTGTCGGCCCTTCTTTCCTGTAACGAGAGCGTTCCCTGGAAATCCCGGCCAGGCCAGCTCAGGGCGCGACCATCACACTGGATGGCAGATGTGCTGGAAGTGCCCTCCGCACGCTTCCTGTTCACCACCCGGCGCTGAGAAGACGTGTACTCAAGGACCAGGGTCTAATACAATTAGTGATTTTTACCGTTTGGTCAAGGGTATTTTCAGGAAAATGGAGCTGTTTTCTTGCTGGGCGCACAGGGAAGGCCACGGAGGCCGGGACGCCCAGCAGCATGGACCGAGCCTGCTGTAAGGCAGCAGCACTTGCACACGCAGCCACCGTCGTGCCGTGGGAGTGCGTGTCAGCACAGTGCGAACAGCAACCACCACCCAGCAAGGTCAGGAAAATACGTGGCCTCACGGACCCCCCAAAACGCGTCAGCGCTCTTAAAGGTCTGTGAACTTCACCTTGAGAACTGCCGCTCTAACCGCAAGGTGCTCAGCTCACCCTCAGAGGCCTCCGATCCACCCCATTTAGAAAGGAGCCTGGCAAAAGAACAGCAGGGAATTCTGCTGTCAGAAAGAGCTGGTTTCACGCCCTGGCTGGTGTGGTTCGGGGGACTGAGCGCCCACCTGTGAACCGAGAGGTCGCCGGTTTGATTCCCAGTCAGGAAGCAAACCTGGGTTGTGGGCCAGGTCTTCAGCTGGGGCCGCGCAAGAGGCAACAGGTCAATGTTTCTCTCGCACATTGCTGTCTCTCTTCCTCTCTTCCTCTCTCCCTCCCCCTCTCTTTAAAAGTTCTCTTGCTGCTTTTAAAATTCACTCTTTATCTTTAACCTTTGGCAGTTTAATTATGATGTGTCTTGTGTGGTCCTCTTTGGGACCAAATTGTTTGGGACTCTCTGTGCTTCCTAAACGTATATGTCTATTTCCTCCACCAAATTAGAAAAGTTTTCTTTCATTATTTTTCCAAGTAAGTTTTCAATTTCTTGCTCTTCCTCTTCTCCTCCTGGCACCCCTATGAATTTGATGTTGGAACGTTTAAAGATGTCCCGGGGGTTTCTAAGCCTCTCCTCATTTTTCTGAATTCTTGTTTCTTCCTGCTGTTCTGATTGAATGCTTTTTCCTTGTGTTCCAAATCATTGATTTGGTTCTTGGCTTCATCGTCTTCACCAATGGTTGGTTCCCCATAGATTTTTTCCTTATTTCACTCAATGTAACCTTCATTTCTGCCTGGGTCTTTTTTATGCTGTTGAAATACCCAGTGAGTTCATGGAGCATCCTGATAACCAGTGTTCTGAACCGTGCACCTGATAGGTTGCTTATCTCCATTTCGTTGAGCTCTTTCTCTGGAGTTTCATTCTGTTCTTTCATTTGGGTCACATGTCTTTGTCTCATTTGCCAGCCTCCCTGTAGAGCTGCTCTGACTCCCTGTCTTAATGCACCTGTTAAGGTTGGATGGGGCAAAGTTTAGGTAACCACAAGGATGGGGTGACCTGTGTCACTGCTCTGTTGCTCTGTGACGGGGAGGGCTCACAGACAGGACAGTGCTGCTGCCTGGCCTCTGGACTTTTGCTCAGGAGGAAGCTGTCCCCTCACTCACACTTCACGTTCTCCCCATATGCCACTGGTGTCCTTCCAGCTGTTGCCCTGGCGCTAAGTCCCAGAGCGGTGGGTCTGTGTAAACTCTAAGTCCATGTGGGCCCTTTAAGCAGAGTCTCCTGAAAATCTGCCAGTTTCCTCCCGCCTTGACTTCAACCCCCACTGGTTTTTGTAGCCAGAAGTTATGGGGACTTATCTTCCTGGCACTGGGACCCTGGGCGGGGCTCCCTCACTCCCCAGGTGCCCTCCTGTTTTTTACCCACCACACAGTGGAGCCGCTGGCTCCCAGCTCTGCCCGTCTTGCCTCTCCTCCTCTCCACCCCCCACCCGTCTGAATGAACACATCTACTTTGCATCCTTGGTGGCAGACTTCCACATGGCTCGATCTTCCGACAGTTCTGAGTCATACTTGTCTTGTGGTGCAGCTGTATTTTTTCTGTAGTTGTGTGTGGAACCGAGGTGTGTTGACCTACGGCTCCATCTTGACTAACCAAATGCTAGCAGTTTAAAATGTCTGTGACCAAGGTAGGTTTGTTTTATTTTGTTTAATAATATCCACTATTAGCAAAAGTATGGAAAATGGACTCTGGTGCAGGGTGCAGATTTATACATTTTCGGGAACAGTTTGGTAATATGAATCAAAATCATGTGTAACCTTTAACTCAGCAATTCTATCAACTTTACTGAAAAAAGTAAGAAATAATTATAGGAATGCTCATCACAATGTCGTGCATAACAGCAACAGGTGGAAAACAGTCTAGGTGATCAAAATGGAATATGTAAAAAAATGATGGGTTAGCAAGATACCAGACACGGTTAGAAACACATGTATTCTCTGCTGTTTGCAGCTGTGTGACCCTGGACAGGTGACTTAACCTACCTGAGCCTCACTTGCCTTGTCTGTAAGTGACCTGACATGGCAGCAGGTGAAGATGAAACACATGGGAAAGACAAAGTCCTGACACCCAGTTAATCCCTGGGTGCGAGTTAGCTGCTACTGATAACAGAATACTATGCAATTGTTAAAATTATACTCACATTGTTGACAAATACAGAAGCTAAATCACAAACTATTAAGGAAAAAAGCAGACTATATAACCTAATGTATGGTATAAACCTGTTCTTATAGAATACAAATGTGTATTTATACCTATATATAGAAAGTCTTGAAGGATATAAAGAAAAATGTTTGTGAGTTCATCCTGGGTAGTGGAATTGAGAGGTTTTAAAGTTATTTATTGATTGATTTTATCATGAAAATGAATTATTTTTGTAACAAATTTAAGTCTATGAAAACAAATCTTGTAACAAATTTAAGTCTATTACCCAATATTTTCAAATTTTACGGAGGTTTCATTTAATTTGGCCTTTGGCTTCCCTGCTCCTCTCTAAGAAGACATGGAGAAGGAAAACTATTCTTAAGATGTTACTACATTCTCAGGACATTACCAGAGGACAACTCACATAGTAGGACTGGTCAAGCAAAATACCGAAGCTGACATAAGAAATCCACCCTACCTTCAGAAAATTCGGGTCCTCTTTGCTCATGTAAAAAGGGTCGTACTCTTTCGGATCGTAATGCTCTAAAAACGCGTTTCCCTGTTGAAGGAAACAGGCCACGTGTAAGAGCCAGAGGCTCGGTCAGCGCTGTGCTGGACTTCAGAGTCACACACGCAGCCCGTCCCCACGCTGCTGCTACGTGGCATCAGGAAGACATGCGGAAGGCGGGCAGAGCACGTCTGAAATGAAATTCCATGTATCACTAAAGATTGTACTGATAGACAAAGTCTACTTAAAATTTCCAAGAATTCACCCTGGCTGGTGTGGCTCAATGGATTAAGTGCAGGCCTGTGAACCAAAGGGTTGCTGGTTCAACTCCCAGTCAGGGGACATGCCTGGGTTATACAGCAGGTTCCCAGTTGGGGGGGGAGGCGTGTGAAAAGCAACCACACATTGATATTTCCCTCTCTTTCCCCTCCCTCTCTCTCTAAAAAGAAATAAAATCTTAAAATTTGTAAGGTTTTCATAAAAAATGTGGGAACAGAAAAGATTTGGGAATTGGTTTTCAAACATCTCAGGTCTCTTAAATTATTGTAAAAAATTGAGTTCCAGAACTCACACACATGAATATCCCCTGATCCTAGAGTCCAGCACTTAAAATTGGTCTATGAAAGTAATAATTACGTGGGAACAACAAAGAAAACTGATTCTGATGTACATACACATTTACATCCAGAACCAGCCCTCTTCCCTCCACCCGTCCCACTCGCCCTGATCCCACTCGCCCTGATCCCAATCGCCCTGGATTTAAGAGGCCACCCGCGTATGGAGCGGGGAGGAGCCCGCTGCCCGGGTGATTCCAAAGAGAGATAACCAGAGTTTCAAACCGACTGAAAGGGGTCAGATGATCTCTCAGTACCTTTTGATTTACATATTTTAAAAAACTATCTAGTTCCTCTTGTCTCCTTTTTTTAATCTTCTTATGGGAACAAACTTTTTCTATGATTTTCTTCTGGAGAGGCTCTGCCACCTGGTCAACCCATCTTTTATGTAACAGCTCTTTTCTTCTCTCATTCAAGAAGTCATGCTGGTGCAAACACTTATCCAGCTCCTAGTAAACGGTGACAGGAAAGGCACACATTATCTGAACTCTTTCTTGTTCTCAAACTTCAATGTCACATACATTCCTAAGAATAACCCACAGAGTCGTTCGTTAATGTGGCCATTTACTGGGCTTCTGCTGTGTGACGTACAGTGCACCGGGGAAAAGGGACACCTGGGTCAGCTGGACAAATGCCTGCCCTCCCTGGGGAGACAACTACAAACCAGGTCTGTGTAATTAAAACCAGGGACTCAGACACAGACACTGGGGCACCGACATTCGCTGCAGCATATTCACAACAGCCGCAAGGTGGAATGGAAGCAACCCAAGTGTCCACCACAGAGGAATGCAGAAACAGAATGTGGCAGACACACGCAAGGGAATAATACGCAGCTATGAAAAAGGAATGGGGTTCTGACATGTGCTACCACATGGATGAACCTTGAGAGCAATATGCTACGTGAAGTAAGGCAGAAAAGGGCCAATATCATAGGATTCCACTTATATGGTGGAGATAGAATGTGAATTAGAGGTTACCGGAGTCTTGGAGAGGGAAGAAAGGGGAGTTATTACTTACTGAGTACAAAGTTTCAGTTAGGGAGATGAAAAAGTTTGGGAAATAGTGGTGATGGTTGTACAACATGTAAATGTAATTAATGTCAGTGAACTGTACAATTAAAATGGTTAAAAATATTAAATTTTATGTTCTATGTATTTTACCTCAATGGAAAAGATGATTACATTTTTGCAAAAATAACCCCAAAGTGGGAGACATTTGAGATGGGCCTTTATAAATGAAGCGTTATCTAGGAGAGGACAGATGACAGACGATGTGGAAGAGAACATTTTATGGGGAAAAAGGAGACAAAAGCAAAGGGACCGAAGTGCAGCCCGACCTAGTCCCAAGGGCGTGCAAAGAAAATGCCTGGGTTAGGCTACAAGCCAAATCACTCTCACCAGCACTTCTTATCAACCTTTCACCTAGCAAATGAAATCATGCAATTATTAGGATCAATGACATAAAATTCAAAATGAAAAAAAAAAAGACCCTAAAACTCCCTACTTCGTGGGGGTATACCTCCATCACTTCAGATCTTAGCACACTTCAACCTTTCTCAACACACAGTTCCTTTCCTTTTCAAACAACCATAAAGTCTTAAAAACAAAAGAAGGTTAAGACCTGGCCAGGTAGCTCCATTGGTTGGAGCATCATCCCATACACCAAAAGATTGTGGGTTTGATCCCCAGTCGGGGCACATACAGGAAGGCAACCAATTGATGATTCTCTCTCTCCCTCTTCCTCTCTCTCCAAAATCATTAATCTTCAGATGAGAATTTTTAAAAAACAATGAACAGGTTACCTACTCCAGCGTTCAGTGCACGTCACAGGGAAATGCACCTTGTCCTGCCGTAGTGAAAGCCTTGTTCTCCCCTGGGTGCACCTGAGGAATGATGGGTCCCTGTGTTCCAGTTCGATCTCCTAAAGCTCTTAACGCTACAGAGCAACTCCGTCAAGGCCCCGCTAAGATGAAGGGACGAGTGAGAAGGAAAAAATCCTGAGGCGTCTGTGAAAGGACCCCCACAAAGGACAGGAGAAGAGGAAGCCCCACCTCTCAAGCTTAATCCTATGGGTGAACGAGGGGTTTAAATTCTACTTTCTGTATTTTCTAAAATTGTTATAATGACGAACTATGTGTAAAATGAAAAAAAATTAATTGAGACACATTGTGGAGTTAATTCTTACCTTAATTATATAATTTTCTCTATATAATATTAATTGAACAGCTGCACTATTATCTTCTTTAGCCAACGCCTAAAATGACAGAATGAAATTTTGAGCAAGTCAAATCTTAAAAATCAAACTATTAACACTGTCTGGACTTAGATTTTAGGTGACAGCCATGTCTCGGGGAAATTCTGTGTAAATCCAGTTGTTACACCTATTGAAAGAGCATCTGAATCTTTCCGCTTTGAATTAAGCTCATTCTAGGGCAAAAAATAACTCACAGTGGACATTTCGAGTCCTGACAAGGCCAAATGACTTGCCCAGAGTCACAGCCCATCTTTTTTCACATCCTACGAAATACTTCTACCTTTATGAGTTAGAATCAGGCCTCTGTTGTTTGCGTTCAGTTAGTCACTGGTGAGTTCTGTTTCAACTCATTGTCATTATAGCTATCAAATATTAATAATAAATATTTTCCTATACAAATCACATTTTCAGATTTTAAAGCAATATAATCTTCAGGGTATAATTCATAATATTATTTTTGCGCTTTCATAACAAATTTTCCATGATTAAATATCTAACAACATATAAGAGGTTGATTTCTAGGACACATATGAGTACAATTAATATCATTGACTTGTACACTTAAAAATGGTTAAAAATAGCCCTGGTTGATGTGGCTCAGTGGATTGAGCACCAGCCTGTGAACTAAAGGGTCACCAGTTTGATTCCCAGTCAGGGCACATGCCTGGGTTGCCAGCGAGCGAGGTGCCCAGTTGGGGGTGTGCGAGAGGCAACCACACAATGATGCTTCTCTCCCTCTCCTTCTCCCTCCCTTCCCCTCTCCCTAAAAATAAAATAAAATCTAAAAAAACAAATTTTTACATGGTCAAAAATAGCAAATGGTATGAAATGATATTGTGTGTATATTACATATAATGTATAATGTATAATATATACACATGTATGCATAATATAAAATATATATAATATATTTTTACCACAATGGAAAAATGATTTTTAAAAAAGATTCCCAAAATGGGAGACTTTGGGATGGGCCTTTGAAATCCTCTCACAATTACACAAAAATAAAATATTCTCGAATTCACTGTCATTGGAAGCAACCTCAATCCCACCGCCCTGTTTCCAGAACAGATGAACATAACCTCAGAACCCAAGACTGAAACCTCCCCCATTAACGCTGAAGAGAACTCAGGCTCACAGGAGTTAAGCAACAACCAGAAGCCTAGAAAATCCTGCGTGCGGCCAGAATTTAAACTCGAGTGTATTGAACTCTAAGTCCATTTTCTTTGCTCTTTCTGCCTCGCAGGGTGGCTATTCCTGGCAAATATGTTGTTTTCAAAACCAAGATGGCTACTGAGTTAATGCCCTGCACAAAAATATAAAAACCAACAGTCTGGAAACACCGGAGACTGACCAAAGGCAGGGAGCAACAGGAGGGGTGGTCAGCACTGAGTGAAAAGTCTCAGCAAGTTCTCAGTTTGGTGTGGACCGCTGTCCAAGAGCCGGCCGCAGTCAGGGCCACCGGGGTTGGCTCCAACTCAGAGACACGCTCCGTTTCAGAGGCTCAAGACTTAGAAGACAGGCCAGGGCAAGCACAGCGGCTGGAAAGGGAGAGGAGAAATGCCTGACAGAGGAAAGCCATGGAGAGGATGCGGCAAATTGTGGGGGTAAAATCTGACCAAACCTCAGTCAGATCCTTGAACTGCATGTACAGCAGGCAGACTCCATGCAGCCCATCTAAAGCTAAGTAAGATTGAACAGTGATTTTCATCTGCTGTCAACTGCAGGAAAGGCAAAGTTTGCGGGCTGAGGCCAGCCAAGTTAACTGCTGCTCAAACAGAAGCTCAATATTCTCCAGAGGAATCTAACAGAAGCCATACTCTTTACAATGTATCATGTAGAATGTCTAAAATAGAGTCTAGCCCCGGCTGCTGTGGCTCAGTGGATTGAATGTCTGCCTGTGAACCAAAAAGTGGCCGGTTCAATTCCCAGTCTGGGCACAGGTCTGGGTTGCAGGCCAGGTCCCCAGTAGGGGGAGTATGAGAGGCAAACAAACATACGTTGATGCTTTTCTCCTTCTCTTTCTCCCTCCCTTCCCCTCTCTAAAAATAAATAAATAAAATCACAAAAAATATATAGTGTAGAATTCACACACATACACACACCAGAAAAATGTGGCCCACACTTTAGAAGGCAACCAATGGAGACCAACTCCAAGATGGCCCGTGTGTTGAAATGAACAGACAAGGACTTTAGGTCAACGATTACAGCTGTGCTTAAGACGCTAAAGGAAATGTCCTCGTAACGAATGTGTCAAAAATCTGAGCAAAGAGATATAGAATATAAAAAAAAACAAGTGGAGAATACAGTTCTTAAATTTAACAAACAAACTTCAATGGGCTTAATAGCAGATTGGAACTGACATAAGAAGGGTCTGTGAACTTTAGCATAGATCACCAGAAGTTACCCAATCTGAAAAACAGAGAAAAGACTGGAAAGTAATGAATGCAGCTGCAGCAACGACGTTTGAGACGACAGCAGAAGGTTCACCAAGTGGGGAACTGGACCCTCGAAGTGACCAGTAAAAGGACGGAGCAGAAACACTGAAGAAATGGCTGGGATGGGAACTTCCACTTCCAGACAAGATAGGATAACAAGAACCTTTTCTTTAAAAAAATAACTGCAACAACAGTTTTCAAGACATTGGACATCAGGCAATGAAGGACAGTGGCCCCCGAGAAACAGAAAACAAAGGGAGCCCTGCAACAGCTCAGTTTTGCACCTGGAAAGAGTTTCCTGACTGGCACGGAGAGGTGGGTATCAGGCGGAACCCAGCCGTCTCCCTGAAACAGGAGGAAAGCTAGGAGTCCAGGGGAGACCAGGCCAGCTAGTCTGTAGGGCTGAGTGCCGGGGGGGGGGGGACAGTTACACAGAGAAAGAGCTTTGGGGATCTGGAGAGGGTCCCCCTTGATTCTTCAGCTGAATGCTGAACGCCACATGCCTGTGGAGAGACTACCCAACAAAACGCTCCACCACTCAGCCCCTGGGAGGAGTCGGGGAAACAATCTCTAGAGGTCACAGGGCCCCAGGAGGTATTTCTTCCACATCAGCCAGAGTGAAAAGGCCCGTGGTCTGCAAAGCATGGAGTTGAGTACTGGGAGGGTTTTGGGTAAGCAGTGGTGCAAAACTGGCCACTCACTAGATGCCACTGTGGTCCTGCCCACAAGGCGAGGCCTGAAAGAGTCAGGGTGGGTCCAAGCAACTGAGCCACAGCCCAGACCAAGCTCAGGAACATTTATGGGAGATCAGAGATATCCAGCACCCAACAAGGTAAAATTCACAATGCCGAGCATCCAATAAAACAGATCACCAGGCATACAAAGAGGCAGAAAAATTTGACCAATAATAAAGAGGAAAATCAATCAAACCTGTCCCAGAAATAACACAGGTGATACATGTATTAGACCAGGACATTAAAATAATCCTTATACCTGTCATTCATAAGTTCAGGAAGCTAGAGGGAACAGTAGACATTTTGAGACAGGGAAGATATAAGAAAAGACCCAAATAGAATTTATAGTGAAGAAAATTACGATGTCTCAGGTGAAAAATTCACCAGACAGGCTCATCAGCACATTTAAAGCTTCAGAAGGTAGCAAACTTAAAACCTCAACAGTCAAAGCTGTCCAAGGGGGGAAATCTGCAAAAGGTGAACAGTGTCTGTGGGCGATGGTGGATTTCAAGCAGGCTGTGATACATATCATTGTATTTATCAAAAAAGGGGAGGGAATAGAAAAAAACACTTGAAAAAATAAGGGTTGAAATGTTTTCAGGATTTGTTGGCAACTCTAAACCCACAGAGGGGGAGAGATTACCAGGATTCAAGGCGGACACGTGGGGAGAAGGGACTCCGTTCATTGTCTTGATTGTGGTGAGGGTTTCACGTGTGAATACGCAGCGCGACTCATCAAACTGTGCACTTTAAGTGCACGCAGTTTATTGCCTGTGTAACAATTATACCTTAATAACAACGTGCGGAAAAAGACAAATTACAATCTTTTAAAAAACACAACGCATATATATCTGCGTGATGCAGCTTGATTCCGCCTTAAGAAGCTAGGAAAGGAGGAGCAAACCCAAAGTTAATAGAAACAAAGGAATAATAACGAGCAGAATGAAACAAAACTTGCAAAGAAGCGCCCGGGTCACTGGAGGCGGTTCCGCTCGCACCGAGCGCGCACCTGCATGAGCGCGAGCGGCTGCGGCTCCAGCCACTCCTTCGAGCTCTTGAGCTTGGGAAGCTTGTTGGTCGCACGGCGGTCACCGTCCACGTTTTCCATTGCGGATCCCAGTAACGAGCCCCTGGGAAGACTAAAAACGGGGCGTGTTTAGTAGTGCGGCTTCACCCCCCGGTTCTGCGCGTTGGTCAGCGAACCATCCTCGTGACCGCGGGCGGACGCGGAGCAGCTTCCGACCCTCAGCCGCTGGACTGGCCAGGTGCGCGCCCCCCGCGGGCCGCGCAGAGAGGCGCCGGCCGCTCCGCTCCGCAGCCCCTTCCGGGGTCTGGCAGGGCTTCCCGGCCCCGCCGCGCGGGGCCCACCGGCGTCGGCTGCGCCCGGAGGGTGAGCCCGCCCGGCGACGGCCCCCGAAGGTGAGGACGTTTCGCGTCCCGCGTCTCCTGGGCGCCCGGACAACGACGAGTCCGCGCGGCGCGGAAGCGGTCGGAGGACCCCGTGGAAGTGCGGCCTCGGGTGGGCAGGCCCCAGCTCGCGGACCGAGGCCGAGGGCTTCTCGGTGACCGGCAGCTGCCGCAGCCAATCGCTGGCACGTCGCCTTCCCCGCGTCCCGCACACCCGGGCCCGGCGCTGGTCGCCCGTCCGCCGACCCTCCCGGCGGCCCCGCCGCGCTCCCCCAGGTGCCGTGCGCCCCCCGCGTCGCCCCCGCCCCGCTCCGGGAAGCCCCACCGCCCAGCCCACCCCACCCGTGGGCCGAACCGCGGCGACGAGAGTGGAGGGAAAGGGGCAGTGTTTGCGGAGGTCGCCCGATGAGGACGGCGACGACTTGCGGACTTGGGCGGAGAACGAGTCTTCGGGCAGCTTCCAAAAGTGTGCGCGTCCGCGGGGCGCTGCCCGCGGGAAGGGGCCGGAGGACTCACGGCAGTGCCGCCCGGTTCGGCCGCGTTCACTGAGTTCGGTTCTCCGTCCCCGCAGGAGCTGCTTCTTGTTTCGTTTTTTCTTTTGTTTTTCTTTCTTATTCCAGTTGATTCCGACGCTACCCGCTGCCACAGCTAGAAGATGACGCGCCGAGCTCGTCCAAAATCCCTGCAGGGCCCGCTCTGTGCGAGCTGGATTCCCGAGATTTTACTCTCGGCTTTGAGTTTTGGTGGACACTGGGCCTGGACACTCCTACTGCCCGCCTTTTCAGGGAACACAAGCCCGTACGAAACCTGTCCGGCGTCTCCTAGGCAGATCTGTGCCCGCGGGCCTTCAGAAAGCTCGCCAGAGCCGACCGGCCGCGCCGCAGCCTCGCTCCGAGCCCGGGCGGAGCTCGGCGTCCACTCGCCCGCGGGCTCCAAGCGGGGGGACCGCGCAGCCCCCACCGAACGCGGGGCGCAGCTGTGTGTCGTCACCAGGGTTCGGTGTAGGAAAAACGCGTTTGGGCACAGAGTTCCAAATTCAAAAACAAGTCTGGGCGTAAGAGTTTTAAACAAACTTTTTTTTTTGTAATGAGCCATAGTAAGCATTTTAGGTTTCCAGGCCACAGGAAAGCAGCCACAGAAACACAATGGAAGACTGGGTGTGACTATATTCCAATAAAACTTTATTTATGGACACTGAAATTTTAATCCTGTGCAATATTTACACATCTCACAATATTATTGTTTTGATCCCCCCACACTACTTAAAACTGTAAAAACCATTCTCAGTTGTAGGCACACAAAAACTAGGAGTGGGACGAACTGGCCGGCCTGCCACAGGTGCGGACTCCCGGGCTATTTAACCGGGGCAGGAAACAGCCGGTGTCGCCCCAACACTTGTGAATGGATCCGCCAAGAGGGCTTTGCAAGGCCGGAGTGGACTGTATTTCAAGGAAAAGACTACAAATGTGTCCCCGCAGACAACTGTTAATGCTAAGAATGTGTGTGAGTTCTGAGGATTTGAAGACAGCTGGGTAAAGACCCCAAGGAAAGAAATCGACTTCAGTTTTCTGCCTCTCTTCCGATCCTACCTGTGAAGCGGACTAAGCCGGTTATTGCAACAGCAACGTTTGAGACGGCGGGCTCTACCAAGAGAGAGAAAGAAAGAAATGTGGGAAAGAAAGTGCTAACAGAGAGCCTGGTTCTGAGAAATGTTTGTTCCAGAACCTATCAGCTGCACCTTGCCTGTCTCTCTCCACTATGGTGTATCCTTCATATTCTACATCCTCCTTAAAAAAAAAGGTGACGAGGGATGGAGCAAAAAGAACTGCTGAACACAGACAACAGTGTGGTGATTGCTGGGGGTTGGGGGAGGACAGTGGAGGTGGAAGAGGGTATAGGTCAGGTAAGTGGTAATGGAAAAAATACAGTAAAAATTTTTTAAAAGTGATGTTGCCCCATGCCTCTTTAAACTTCTCTTGACCTTCCGTTGCCTATACGAAATTAAGGACATGGAATCACATTTACTGGAAGCCCTGTATTATGGATTAGGCACAGTTTATCCACATTATAAACTAAGTAGCCCCATTTTACAGATGAGAAAACTGAGGCTAAGCGAGGTTCAGTAACTCTTCCGTAGTCACGCAGCAGAAAATGGACGTGCTGGGATCCACGCCAGAGTGTCCAGTTCCAAAGTGCATTGCGTGTCTCATTGGGATAGGGGTATAGTACAGTCAACTGGGGAACTTCTTCAAAATACCCATGCTGTTATCGCAACAGTCTGAACATTTCTGACTACAGACAACTAATTTAGTGGAACAGAGTGGAGAGTCCAAAAGCAAATGTATGAAAAAATGGAAATCAGGAAATGGTGGAAAATACGGCTGGAACGTAACTGCTAGTCCTGCGATGAGGACCAAGAGAAAGGCATTCAGTTTCCTTATCCAGGAAGACACTGGCGTGGCTGTCATCAGGACCCATCTGTGTCTTCTGGTGGCAGCTTATGTGGAGGGCATGTGTCCTGGTGCTTGTGTGGAAGCCACAGAGAAACTGGGTAAGTTTGTCTCCCAGGGCCTGTCTTGGTTCCCTATTGTAGTTGAGTCTTCTGCCTGCAAGGGACAGAGACCACATCAGCTAGGACAGAAAGGAGGAGTTGGTTGCAGGGATACTGAGGATTCTTGTAGAACCAGGGCAAGGTGGAGCCTCAAGGAAAATGATTGCAGGGACTGGAACTCTGCCGGAGCTTTTCTCTGGTCTCTCCTTCTAAGAGGGCTGGGTTTGTTCTGTCCCTCTGAAAGTTGCCTCCTTTCCTGGCTGGCATTGTGGCCAAGACTCCCATTCTACCTCTTAATTTCTCTTAAGACGCTGATTTGACCGGTGTCAGATCAGACCCTTATATCATTTGGTCAGGGAGGATGAGGGAGGCAACAGATTGAAAAAGCAAGAGATGTAGCTCAGTGGACTGAGTGCCAGTCTGCAAACTGAAGGGCCACCAGTTCAATTCCCAGTCAGGGCACATGCCTGGGGTGCAGGCCAGGTCCCCAGTTGGGTGCATGCGAGAAGCAATTGATCAATGTTTCTCTCACACATTGATACTTCTCCAGTGCTTCTGACTGGTATAAAGTGGTATCTCATTGTGGTTTTAATTTGCATCTCTCTGATAGCTAACGATATTGAGCATCTCTTCATGTGTCTCTGGATCTTCTGTATGTCCTCAGAGAAGTGTCTGTTCAAGTCCTTAAGTCCTTTTTAATTGGGTTAGTTGTCTTAGAGTGGAGTCGTGTAAGTTCTTTGTATATTTTGGAGATTAAACCTTTGTCTGAGGTATCATTGGCAAATATGTTTTCCCATACAGTTGGTTGTCTTTTTAATTTAATACTGTTTTCTTTAGCCACGCAGAAGCTTTTTATTTTGATGAGATTCCATTTGTTTATTCTTTCCTTTATATTCCTTGTTCTAGGGGACATATCAGTGAAAATGTTGCTGCATGAAATATCTGAGATTTTCCTGCCAATGTTCTCCTCTAGGACTTTAATGGTTTCAAGGCTTATGTTTAAGTCTTTTATCCACCTTGAATTTATTTTGGTGTATGGTGTAAGTCTATGCTCAAGTTTCATTTTTTTGCACGTAGCTGTCCAGTTCTCCCAGCACCATTTGTTGAAGAGGCTATCTTTACTCCATTTTATGTTACTGCCCCCTTTGTCGAATATTAATGGACTGTAGAGAGTTGGGTTGATTTCTGGGCTCTCTGTTCTGTTCCATTGGTCTATGTGCCTGTTTTTATGCCAGTACCAGGCTGTTTTGATTACAGTGGCCTTGTAATACAGTTTGATATCAGGTATTGTGATCCCTCCCACTTTGTTCTTCTTTCTTAAAATTGCAGCTGCTATTCGGGGTTGCTTATGGTTCCATATAAATTTTTGAAGTGTTTGTTCTATGTCTGTGAAATATGCCATCGGTACTTTAATAGGTATTGCATTGAATCTGTAAATTGCTTTGGGTAGTATGGACATTTTGATGATGTTAATTCTCCCAATCCATGAACAAGGTATATGTTTCCATTTGTTTGTGTCTTCCCTGATTTCTTTTTTCAGTGCTGTGTAGTTTTCTGCATACAGGTCTTTTACCTCCTTAGTTAGGTTTATTCCCAGATATTTTATTTTTGTTTTTGCTATATCGAATGGGATTTTTTCCTTGATTTCTGCTTCTGCTGATTCATTGTTGGTATACAAAAGTGCCTTCAATTTCCGGATATTGACTTTGTAACCTGCTGTTTTGCCAAATTCATTAATTCGTTCGAGCAGTTTTTGGGTAGAGTCTATAGGATTTTCCATGTACACTATCATGTCATGTGCAAACAATGACAGTTTTGTTTCCTCCTTTCCTATTTGGATGCCTTTTATTTCCTTTTCTTGCCTGATTGCTGTGGCTAAAACTTCCAAAACTATATTGAATAGAAGTGGTGAAAGTAGACAACCTTGTCTTGTTCCTGATTTTAGTGGGAAAGCTTTTAGTTTTTGCCCATTGAGTATGATGTTGGCTTTGGGTCTCTCATATTGGCCTTTATTATATTGAGGAATGCTCCCTCTATTCCCACTTTGCTGAGTGTTTTTATCATAAATGGGTGTTGTACCTTATTAAAAGCTTTTTCCGCGTCTATTGATATGATCATGTGGTTTTTGTCTTTGCTTTTGTTTATGTGATGTATTACATTTACTGATTTGAGAATGTCGAA